CAAAGCTAAGTCATCTGGATCAAAATCATGTTCTTTCCATTTGTTCTACATTACCTTCATGCATTATTTAGTTACTTCTTCAAAGAGGGGAGATAAAACATTCCATTTTTTAAAAAATATAGATTTATTTATTTGTAGTTTTCAACATTCATTTCCACAAGTTTTTGAGTTTCAAATTTTCACTCCATCTCAGCCTCCCCCCACCCCAAGATGGCATGCATTCTGAATATCCCTTCCCCTAGTCTGTACTCTTTTCTTTCTCTCCTCCCTTCTCTTATCCCCTTCCCCTTCTATTTTCCTGTAGGGCAAGATAGACTTCTGTACCCCATTTCCTGTATTTCTTATTTCCCGTAGCATGTGAAAACTTTTTTTGAAACATGTTTTTAAAACTTTAGGTTTCAAATTTTCTCTCTTCCTCCCTCCCCACCCACCCTCATTGAAAAGGCAAGCAATTCAATATAGGTTGTACATGTGCAGTTATGCAAAACACTTCCATAGTAGACATGTTGTGAAAAACTAACTCTATTTCCCTTAATCCTATTCTGCCCTCCCATTTATTCTATTCTTTCTTTTGACCCTGTACCTCCTCAGAAGTATTTACTTCTGATTACCCCCTTTCCCAACCTGCCCTCCTCTCTATCATCCCCTTGCTCTCTTGTCCCCTTCTCCCCCCTATTTTCTTGTAGGGTAAGACAAACTTCCATACCAATTGAATGTATGTTATTCCCTCCTTAAGCCAAATCCTATGAGAATAAGATTTACTCATTCCCTTCACCTTCCCCTGCTTCCCCTCCACTGTAAGAGTCTTTTCTGTTTTTTCTTTGTGAGATAATTTACCCCATTCTACCTCTCTCTTTCTTCTTCTCTGAGTATAATCCTCCCTCATCACTTAATTTTATTCTCCAGATATGACCCCTTAATGTTCAACTCACCCTGTGCCTTCTATCTATCTATCTATCTATCTATCTATCTATCTATCTATCTATCTATCTACATATATATAATTTTTTATCTCCAACTACCCTAATACTGACAAAGGTCTCATGAGTTATAAATATCATCTTTCCATGCAGGAATGTAAACAGTTCAATCTTAATAAGTCTCTTATGATTTCTCTTTCCTGTTTACCTCTTCATGTTCCACTGAGTCCTGTATTTGAAAGTCAAATTTTCTATTCAGCTCTGGTCTTTTCATCAGGAATGCTTGAAAGTCCTCTATTTCACTGAATGACCATTTTTTCCCCTGAAGGATTATACTCAGTTTTGCTGGGTAGGTGATTCTTGGTTGTAATCCTATCTCCTTTGCCCTCTGGAATATTATATTCCATGCCCTGTGGTCCTTTAATGTAGAAGCTGCTAAATCTTGTGTTATCCTGATTGTGTTTCCACAGTACTTGAATTGTTTCCTTCTGGCAGCTTGTAATATTTTCTCCTTGACCTGGGAACTCTGGAATTTGGCTATTATATTCCTAGGAGTTTTCCTTTGGGGATCTCTTTCAGGAGGAGATCTGTGGATTCTTTCAATTTCTATTTTGCCCTCTGGTTCTACTATATCAGGGCAGTTTTCCTTGATAATTTCTTGAAAGATGATGTCTAGGCTCTTTTTTTGATCATGGCTTTCAGATCCAATAATTTTTAAATTCTCTCTCCTGGATCTATTTTCCAGGTCAGTTGTTTTTCCAATGAGATATTTCACATTGTTTTCTAATTTTTCATTCTTTTGGATTTGTTTTACAGTGTCTTGATTTCTCATAAAGTCACTAGCTTCCAATTGCTCTATTCTAATTTTTAAGGAAGTATTTTCTTCAGTAGTCTTTTGGACTTCCTTTTCCATTTGGCCAATTTTGCTTTTTAGGGCATTCTTCTCCTCATTGGCTTTTTGGACCTCTTTTGCCATTTGGGTTAGGCTATTTTTTAAGGTGTTAATTTCTTCAGTACTTTTTGAGTCTCCTTTAGCAAGCTGTTCACCTGTTTTTCATGATTTTCTTGCATCACTCTCATTTGTCTTCCCAGTTTTTCCTCTGCTTCCCTTACTTGCTTCTCAAAATCCAAGGCCTGGGACTGATTCATATTTTTCTTGGAGGCTTTGGATGTAGGAGCTTTATCTTTGTTGTCTTTTTCTGGTTGTATATTTTGATCTTCTTTGTCACCAAAGTAAGATAGTATAGTCTGACTCTTTTTGCTCTGCTTGCTCATGATCCCAGCCAATTACTTGAGTTTTAAACTCTTTGTTAAGGTAAGAGTCTGCTTCCAGTGTGGAGAATGTATTGTCCCAAGTTTCAGGGGTTTGTACAGCTGTTTTCAGAGATACTTGTAGGGACCTGTAAATTTTCAGTTCTTGCAAGATGGTATGATAAGGGGCCAGGTGTTTACTCCTTTCCTGGCCTGTGACCACAAGTATTCCTTTCTGTCCTGTAATTGTGAGGAGGGGTTCCTCTCCACAGCCACTACAAGCTCCACCATGCCAGCGTTCCTCCTCACCCCAGCACTGCCACCCAGAACTGTGACCCAGATACAAACGCAGGCAAAGCAAGAGATTCCTGCCTCTATAGTGGCAAAGAGATCCCTGCAATCCCTCTCTGATCAGCCACTGGATTCCCCCTCAGTCTGTGGGCCAGAAGCTCGGGAAGCAGCTGCCCCCCCCCAGGACCACGCTCTTGGGGAATGAAGCTGAGACCCCGCCTTCCTTTCTTAGCACCGACAGAAACAGATTTTTCCCACTGACCTTCTAAGTTGTCTTTGGCATTGTTGGGTTGAGGAGTCTGGAAACCTCCACAGCTGCCAGCGACTCAGTCCTCTGAGGCCTGCTCCAGGTTCGCTGCGGCCTGCTCTCCCATGCTGCGCTGCTCTCCCAGCCCAGTGTGATACATCTTTCTGATCAATCATCCAGGTTTCTTGGGCTGGAAATTTGTTTCACGCTGTCTTTCTGTGGGTTCTGCTGCTTCAGAATTTGTTTAGAGCCATTTTTTATGAGTATTTGGAGGGGTTTGGGGGAGAGCTCAAGCAAGTCACTGCTTTCACTCCGTCATCTTGGCTCCACCCTGAGATAAAACATTCTTGTGGTAAGTTTTATATGTATAACCTCAAAAATTTGTGTAAGTAGACAATCATACACATAATAAATGAAGAAATGTAACCCAGTTACAGAAGCCAAAATCTCTGATTGCTTTACCTAGGGTTCATTGGCTTGTCACTCAAAGAAGATCTTAGCAATAAGGGGAACCTTAGCACCTCAGCCCCCTAAATAGTTCCTGTGAATTTTGTGGGAGGGCAGTTGGGAGGGGGAAGTCCATGAAAAGCATTTTCCATTCCCAATCAAGAATCTGACAGGAGTTACAAAAAATGTCCAAATCCCAACTGACAATGTTATCTGGGACTAGAGACTAAGTACGGAGGGTGACGGGAAAGATTTTATCTTAGCCTATGGTATTTGGAGGACTTGTATGGGCTGCTTGGCTGGGACTTGTAGCTATCTCTGCCACAGGCTTTTCTAGCCACTGCCGTCCAGTAGATGGTGGCAAAGAGCAACAGATAGACCTGAAGAGACCAAATAGCCAAAGTCCATCAGATGACATCAGGGAAGATGCTCAAAGTACACAAGACCAAGAAGATGATGTAAGCAAGACTAGAGAGTCAATGTCCAGACAAGAACCGAGATCGAACACCCAACAGAAAGAAATAGAGAGCAACTCAGCGACATCACCAGAAAACATCAGCGGCGCTGCAGCATCAGCAGTATGAGTTATACCAACCTTCTGGGAACCCTGTCTACATATATCCCCAAGTGTGTGCTTTCTCTACGTGTTTCTAAGCAACATACATTTTATGTATGTTCCCGAGTCACATGTAACTTCAGCGTGTGTACTTTCTCCCACACTAGTAGTATGGTCACCTGTAGAAAAGTATGTTTTTCATAGGAAAGTAAGAGAATCTTTTCTTGTTTCAATATTTGCTATGCTATTTGACTAAATGTCCTTTGCTTTGAATTAGTGTCTCCTCTGATTTGCTGGTGAAAGAAAGAAAGAGAGAGACAGAGAGAGAGAGAGAGAGAGAGAGACAGAGAGAGAGAAGAGAGAGAGAGAGACAGAGAGAGAGAGAGAGAGAGAGAGAGAGAGAGAGAAGAGAAAGAAAGAAAGAAAGAAAGAAAGAAAGAAAGAAAGAAAGAAAGAAAGAAAGAAAGAAAGAAAGAAAGAAAGAAAGAAATTGGTAGGGGCTTATGAGTTATGGTTTTAAGTACATCCCGATCCACAAAGTGCTTTGGACCTGGCAAAGCATTTCTAGAGGCCCCCACACAAGGCATCAAAATAACTCAACTTGACATGAGTCAATTGAAAAGTTGATAAAAGATACTCCCCTTTCTTTATATTCTTGCATAAGACACTGAACAGTATCTTGGAGATGGGCTCTCAATCCATCAGTTATTCCTAGAGGGAAAGGAAGATGTAAAGAAGGACCCAGGGCCTATTTTAATCTTGCAAGGGTTCTTCCTTGACTCTGTGGTGGACTGTTGCAACAAAACAGATTTGTACCTAGCTAGTGTGGGGGATAGTCACAATGGGGACTTATCCACCCATTTTATGTTAGAATTGAAAAGGATCTGGGAAATAAGCAAGATTAAACCTTTTGGCAAGTGAAGAGACTAAGACCCAGAGAAGGGAAATTATTTGCCCCAAACTTAGTAAGGTTCTTTACAACTCTAAAATTCTAATTCTCTGGTCTCATGCTGTCTATGTTTGCCACAGGAGTTTGCAAGGCTGCGTTGGAAGGAACGGAGTCTCCAGTCAGGCAAGAAGAATGAGTAATGATATTGTCTCTGGTATTTGATCCTTATGGTATAAAGAGGAGTGTACTTTTATTCTGTAACCCAGGTAACCCTCCCTTCAGCCCTTCTGAGTTGGGTACCTGTCTGAAGATGTGTACTTCTTACCTATGGCTTAAAGCAGAAGAGTCCAATAATTTCTGTTCCTGAGAACCAATAGGAGTCACAAAAAACAAAGAAGCTGGAGTTAGAGCATTTATTTGTCTTAATTTAGATAAGTTATATTTATTCCAAGTCAAACACAGCTATGTTGCCTTATGATGCTCAGTTTGAGGCCAACTGAGGCTATGCCTCTATTTCCAAGTAGAGTCCAAGAAATAGATGGGTTACAGAAATCAAAGGTTTTAGACCTATCAATAAATAAGACATAACAATAGCTTATCGAGACCTAGTTCAAGCTTCAGAGCCTAGCAAAATTGTCAGTAAAGGAATACTGGATGAACAGGGCTCTAGGCTGCCCAGATTGTCTTCACTCTTTGTTGGATATCCGCTTTCAATTCAATTCAACAAACATTTGTCAGTTGTCTGCTATGGGTCAGGCAGTGTGCTTGGTCCTGGGAATACAAGACAAAAAGGGTGGGGGGAGGGGAAGCCTTCCTTGTCTTCAAGGAACTTACACTCTAACTAGGGACACAACATAGACATAGACAATTAAACATACAATATATACAAAGGAAGGAGGAGTACAGTAGCAACTGGTAGAATCGGGATAGTTTTCTGATTGGAGGTGGCCCTCAAATTTGGCTTTAAATTGAGCCACTACTGTTCATTTTCTTCATTTTCTTCAAGTAATCCTGAACCCATTTGTCTTCGAGATGTGCACAGTATATTTTGCCTTTCTTCAGAGTAAACCTGCAAATGGAGACAAAGAGAAAGCCCAAAGACCACTGTCAGAAGACAAGTCTAATAGAAAGAGACTTTATTCCTAACAGGGCACTGAGATCAAATTCCTAAAAAGGTAGGATAGATGGGAGGCAAAGTTCAATAAAGCAAGAACCTCACCTCTTCTTTATCACCCCTAAACCTGCTTCCTGTACCACTGAACCACACTTCCTGCTTCATATGATCTGACTTCTGGCTACTTCACAGAGGCTATTCAGAAGACCAAAGAATCTTCCTCTCCCACAAAACTCCTTAGCTACTCCCCTGACTCCTCTGCTCTTCAGAGAATCCTAAATGTAAAATGTTTCAGAGCAGGGAACAGACAGGCCCAGTCCCCTCCCTCCAGTACATAATCTGGAGCTCTGATTCCATTAAGCCCCAGGTCAGAGGGACTGATTCTAAATTAAGGGCACCCCCATAGTGTCTAAGCAGCTAAAATGTTTCTTCTGCTCCCTGAGATTCTCCTGGCTGTGCCTAATTCATGGACAGTTTCATTTCTGGTGGAGGGATCTACAGAGCCCCCATCAATGTGAAACCTTGTCTGGGGCAAGAAACTTACATTACAGCCTTGTAGGGGCAGGAACGGCTAGTGATACCATAGTTTTTGATGAGATGGTGTGGAAGGCTCCTCTTCAGAAAGACAAAGCAGCAGGTAGGCTTCGAATCAACCACTGTAAGGAAACCCCAGAAGACAGTACTTTGCCTCTTGCCAAGGAGCCTGCTTGCCTCACCAGCTACATTGGCATGATTTTGGAATCTCCAAGGCTGTGCCCTGCTTGAAGATTGCCTGAGCAGGGCTACAGGGGCAGCTATATACGTCATCAGCCTCTCTATCCATAGAAAAGTTGAAAGGAAGAAGAGAAAGTACCTAGGGAAAATCACCTACATGTTCCCCCGATGAGACAAGGGCCTCGGAACCCCAGGGCTCTTCAGGGACTTGCCTGCCCAATCTACTAAACTGAATCCTTACCACCCACCTATACCAATAGGGCAGCGACACATTGTTGTGCAAAGTGTGGCCCCTTCTATCACTTCAGAACTTTGCAAACTGGAGCAATTCACCAAACCCCTCTGGGATCTCCAGGGTAAAATGAAGTAGTTGGGCTCAATAAGACTTAAGAGCCTTCCTTCCAGCTTTAATTCTAAGTCCATCAGTCCTAGAGAGAGAATGGGCCAAAAAGGTCCCTGATCACTAGGAGGTGATACCTTCTACCTTATGTTTGCCATAGACCCTCACCCACAATCTACCTGCAACCCAAGTTGAGAAGTGCCCTTTTCTTGCCTGGAAATTAAGTAAAGATTCTCTGGGGAAGTCTCCCAGACATGGGGGTCTGCTCTGCTTCTCTAAAGAATGGCACAGGATCAAGGAAAGACTAAGTAATCAGCCTCATACTTACAACTACTGCTGAAGCTATCTTGAGGTCCCAATGTCACAAGCAGCAGACATAGCAGGACCATGGAGATGTGCTGCATCTTGGAGTGAGCTGTGGCTTCTCAAGATGATGCACCTTCAAGTTCTGCTGGCTCCCCATCTCCCCAGGCTTTGGTATTTATATCCAGCACATGGGGTTTCCCCTGCCCATCCCTGCAGAGGTGGGGGGACTCACAAAAGGAAAGGAAGCTATTTATGATGCAATGACCGCATAGAAAACTGCTTTTCTCTGTGAGTAGAGGAAAGCTCTGGGGAAAACTTACCCTCAGCAGGGGACAGATAAAGATCCTGTACAGATTGTGGTGCAGTTAGATCCTGAGTTTAGATAAGTGGGCGTAGTGGGAAACATCATGTGGGGGCAGGGGACAGTGGGAAGCTCTATCTGAGAAAGCTACTTCCTCCTCTCCTCCATCTTTCTCCCTTTCCTTCTTCATTCCGCCTTTTCTTCTTCCTATTAAAAGGATAGCTCAGGTTTTCAATCAACTGATTAACGAACATATATTGAGCATCTCCTCTGAGCCACACTGTGCTAGAAGGTGAATGTACACAAAGATGAAACAATCCCTGCCTTTGTAAAGTTTTCATCCTATTAGAAGAGACAGAAAAGTTACATACAAACATCTACAAAACATATACAAAGAATACAAGGCAATTTGGGGGTGATAAAAAGGCACTGGCAGCTGGGCTTCTGGAATGTTCTAATGGCCTCTTGTAACATTGTACTTGACTGCCAACTCATCCCAAAGATACAAGACACACCAATATATGAAACACTGAACAAAATAAATCTACAAGTATTTATGAAGCACCTACTGTGTGCCAGGCACTGTTGTGGTTGCTGAAGATACAATAATAAAAATGAGATAGACCCTGGACCTTGCCCAAGGAGCTTTAGGTTCTCTTGGAGGAGACAATTTGAGTATATATAAACATATACAGTACAAAAAAATAATAAGGGAGGTCACTAGCAACTAGAGGGATCAGGAAAAGTCTCAAGCAGGAAATAATCCTTGAGCTGATCTCTAAAAGGGACTAAGTATTTTAAGAAGTAGAGATAGAGAACAAGTATATATCTCATCAATGTCCCTTTGCCCGAAGGATTTAAGGCTTTACATCTCTTTTATTGGTCCATAATCTTAGGAACTCTAACCATCTATTCCCTCCAGCATCTTTCAAGTACCAGCACAGGTCCTGTAAGGTCACTCACTGGGTGCAGAGCTCTGACCTGGACACTAGAGGGAATAAAAGCATGCCCCAGTTCCCTATTCTAAAAAAGTTTAGATGTAGGGCTCTCTGGGGGAAAGAGGAGCTAAGGCAGTACATGCCGAGTTCCTTGGGATAAAGAGGGTGCTTTGACTCTCCGTATAGTCTCTGTGGGATGGCCAGGGGTCATATGACCTGGGCATTTGAATCTCAGCACTGCCTACTTACTCTTTAAGTAATGTTGAACAGGTCGTCTGACTTCTCTGGACCTCAGTGTCTTTAGCCTTTAGTTTGAAGGTGAGAACTGGTCTCAGAGTCAAGAAGATTTGGGTTAAAGTAACAACTCTGACACATACCAACTGATCGAGCTACTTAACCTCTTAGTGCCCTGGGCAACTCTCTAAGACCAAATTGTGGAGCAGGTGCCAATCTAAATCTCTGGGGGAGTTTCCTCATGGGGAGTTTCCCATAATATTGAAATCATAGGTTTCAGCCTAAAACAAAAAGACAAGTGTTGGATTCAACAATCTCAAAGGATACTTCTACTGCTAAATCTGTGACCCCAAGTCAAGGGTCATCAAGCAAAAAAAAGATGGCATCAATCCATGGGAAAGAACAAGAAATCTAGATGAAGATGACTACAAGGAGTCTGGGAAGAATTTCTTTGGAAGGGAGGTTCATTCAGTGATGGGCTAAAAATGGAAACAGACAGCAGAATGAATTAAAAACCAGAATCAAACAATATGTTGCTTGTGAGAAACACACTTGAAACAGAGAGACACATACAGAGTTAAAATAAGTGGTGGGGGCAGAATCTATTGTACTTGGTTGAGATAGGAAAAAAAGGCAGGGGTAGCAATCATGATCTCAGACAAAGCAAAAATAGACCTAATTAAAAGAGATAAGCAGGGAAACCATATCTTACTAAAAGGCACCACAGACAATGAAGCAATATCAATACTAAACATATATGCACCAAATGCTGTAGCATCCAAATTCTTAAAGGAAAAACCAAACGAATTACAGGTGGGAAAAGACAGTAAAACTATACTAGTGGGAGGCCTCAGTTTTCTCTCTCAGAAGTAGATAAATCTAATCATAAAAAAGACATTAAGGAGATGAATAAAATTTTAGAAAAGTGAGAGATGACAGACCACTGGAAAAGACTGAATAAGAATAAAATGGACTATAATTTTTTTCTCACCTGTACATTCCACCTTCACAAAAATTGACCATGTATTAGTGCATAAAAACCTCATGCAGAAAAGCATAAATATTAAATGCACCTCTTTTGGACCATAATACAATAAAAATTACATTCAATATAGGGCTTTGGAAAGTTAGATTAAAAATTCATTAGGAACTAAATAATCAAATCCTAAAGAATGAGTGGGTCAAAGAACAGATCATAGAAACAATCAATAATTTCATTAAACAGAATGACAGCAATGAAATGACATATTAAACTTTGTGGAATGCAGCCAAAGCAGGGGAAAATGCATATCTGTAGATGTGTACATCAATAAAAGAAAGAGCAGAACAATGAATTAGGCATGCAACTAAAAAAAATAGAAAAAGAATGAGTTAAAAATCTCCAATTAAACACCAAAATGGAAATCCTGAATATCAAAGGAGAGATTAATAAAACCAAAAGTAAAAAAGCCATTGAACTAATACATAAACCTAGAATCTAGTTTTATGAAACAGCCAATAAAATAGATAAATTATTGACTAATTTAATTAAATAAGAGAAAAAAAAAGAAACGAAATCACCATCATAAAAAATGAAAAGGGTGAATGCACCACCGATGAAGATGAAGATGAAATTAATTATTAGAAGTTATTTTGCCTAATTGTATGCCAGTAAAATGGACATCTATTTCACTTAGATTGCCAGTAAAATGGACAATCTAAGTGAAATAGATGAATGTTTACAAATGTTTAAATTGCCCAGATTAACAGAAAAGGAAATAAAATAAATAACCCTACATAATTTAAATAACCCTACCTTAGAAAAATAAATTGAGCAAGCCACAGTTGAGCTCCCTAAGTAAAACTCCCCAAGACCAGATAGAGTTACCAGTGAGTTCTACCAAACATTTAAGGACCAATTAATCTCAATGCTATATAAACTATTTGACAAAAATAGGTAAAGGATTCCTACTAAATTACTTTCACGACACAAATATGGTTTTGATACCTAAACCATGGAGAGCAAAAATAGAGAAAGAAAACTTTAGACAAATTTCCCTAATGGATATTGATTCAAAAAAAAATTAAATAAAATACTAGCAAGGAGATTTCAGCAATATGTACCAAAGATCCTACACTATGGCCAGGTAGAATTTATAGCAGGAATGCAGGGCTGGTTCAATATTAGGAAAACTGTAAAATTATTGACCATATCAATAACAAAAACAATAAAAATCATAATTATATCAATAGATGCAGGAAATAACTTTTAACAAAATACAATACCCATTCTTACTAAAAATACTGGAAAACATGGGAAGAAATGATACCTTTCTTCAAAAAATAACTAGCATTTTTCTAAAAACAAGAGCAAGCATGATCTGTAATGGCAATAAATTTGAAGCCTTCTTAATAAGATCAGGGGTGAGGCAAGGATGTCCATTATCACCACTGTTCTTCAATATTACATTAGAAATGCCAACTACAGCAATAAGATAAGAAAAAGAAATTGAAGAAATAAAAATAGGCAATGAGGAAACAAAACTATCACTCTTTGCAGATGATATAATGGTATGCTTAGAGAACCCTAGAGAATCAAATTAAAAACTGGTTGAAACGACAACTTTAGCACAGTCTCAGAATATAAAATAAGCCCATATAATTCATTAGCATTTTTATACATTACCAGCAAAACCCAGTAGGAAGAGATAGAAGGAGAAATTCTATTTAAATTAACTGCAGATATTATAAAATACTTGGGAATATACCAGCTAAGACAAATCCAAGGACTACATGAATAAAATTATAAAATATTTTTCATACAAATGAAGACAGATCTAAACAATTGGAAAAATATCAGTTGCTCATGGGCAGGCTGAGCCAATATAATAAAAATGACAATTCTACCTAAGTTAATTTACTTATTCACTTCCATACCAATCATTCTACCAAAGAATTACTTTATAGAGCTAGAAAAAAATCAACAAAATTCATCTGGAAGAACAAAAGGTCAAGATCAAGAATATCAAGGAAATCAATGAAAAAAAATGTTATGAAAAGAGGCCTAGCAGATTTCAAACCATATTACAAAGTGGTAATCATGAAAACAGTTTGGTACTGGCTAAGACATAGAGTGGTGAATGAGGAATAGATTAGATACACAATACACCATAGTAAAAGACCCTAGTAATCCAGCGTTTCACAAAATCAAAGATCCAAGCTTTGGGGACAAGTACTCACCTTTTGATAACAAATTGCTACCTTGCTGGAAAGCAGGTAGGCAGATACTTGGCATAGATCAACATTCATACTGTATATCAAAATAAGGTCAAAATGGATAAAAGATTTAGACATAAAAGGTGATGCCATTAGTAAATTAGGGGAACATGGGAAAAATGTTACCTGTCAGATCTATGGATAAGGGTAGAGTTTATGACCAAACAAATTACTTAGCAAGAATTAAAATGGATAACTTAATTACATAAAATTTTAAAAGTTTTGCACAAACAAAACTAATGTAGCCCAAATTAGAAGGAAAGCAGGAAACTGGGCTGGGGGGAATTACAGCTAGTTTCTCTGATAAAGACCTCATTTCTCAAATACATAACCAACTGAGTCAAATTTATAAAAATAAGAGCCATTCCTTGGATGATAAATTGTCAAAGGATATGGACCTGCACTTTTCAGA